GTCTTGGGGAGGCCATGAGTGGCCTTAAACGGTCAGGCGAGGAGCTGTGGCAGGCAGATGTGTCCCCGTCTGTCCCCCAGCTCGGGAAGCAGCTGCACAGCTCATGTCTCTCATCTCTTTCAGCCTCCGGGAGGAGTTCCTGGGACACAGCCACTGCTGCCCAATTCCATGGATCCCACACGACAACAAGGTAGAGTGAGCGAGCGTGGTGTCTGCCTGGGGCGAGGGGCGTCCCGAGGGGCTCCTTCTCCCTCTATTGTCTCCCCCTGCCTCTGCCTCTCACAGCTCACCTATTCTCTCACGCAGGGCACCCCAACATGGGAGGATCGATGCAGAGAATGAACCCTCCCCGAGGCATGGGGCCCATGGGTCCCGGCCCACAGGTAAGCCTGTCTGTCTGTCCATCTCCCTGGCCATCTGTGTGCCCCCGCCTTCTCTCCTCTTTCCACAGTCTGTCAGTCTTTCCACGTCGCTCAGCTCGCAGAGGTGAAAGGAAAGGGTGTGACTAGGTCCCCAGTTGCCGTCTCTGGGCTGGACCCACACACAGCCAAGAACAGTCCCCTCAGTAGGCAGAGTTGAGGGGCCCCCAGGGAGCTGAGGAAGAGGGGCATCTTGGAGCCTCCCAGTGACAGACCCTTTCAGGGGAGGGGTGTGCCAGCCTTTGGTGTGAGGATTTTGGAAGGCAGAGGGAGCATAGTGTGGGTCCTACAGGAACCCCAAAGCCTCCTCCCATTTTGGGTGGGTGGACTTGAGCTGGCTCAAGGGTCATGGTTTATTGTCACCCAAAGGTAGGATAAATGAGTGGGGGTCCTAGCTCTGTTTGCAGTTCACCATTTGTCCTTGGACAAATCACTTTGACCTCTGTGGGCCCCAGCAGGCCTCTGTTTGCCCACCTGTCCAACAGGGAGGGAGTCTGTATCCATGGTTCTCAGGGATGCCACCCCAGGTGAGCCGAGGCCTGGCTGGCCAGGGCCCCAGCCAACTGCAACCCAGAGCTTTTGCCTCTTCCGCATACCGGGGTCCTGCCTGAGATTTCTTTTCACCAGAGGGCTCCATTGCAAAAGAAAAGAACCATTTAGAAACTCTAGAAGAAATTGTTTCAAGTGCTCTGCCTCCCTCTTTACAGTTACAACAGTGGTTGCTCCTTGTGACCAACTCCATACCCCATGGGTACGGGCCCCACGGGACCATAGGGCAGGGGTCTGACAGGCCATTCCCATCTGCGGCCTTCTCGCTGCTGGCTCTTACTCTTCTGAGTATTTGAATGTGGCTCTGTTCCCTGAAGGAGCCATGACAGAGAGTTTGCTCTGCTCTTCCCTCCTTGGGAATTTCCTGGATTCTGACTGCCTGAAAGAAGCTAGAAGTCTGGCTGAGGGGAGGGGAGTTTGACATAGTGAGAGCGGGAGGGTGTTGTTCCAGGGTGTTCCTTCCTTTTTTTCTGCCCCACCCGGAAGCCTGCTTGTCCCTCCCACCTGTTTGTAGATGTTTGGATTCTCTGGGCCCCTCTCCAGGTTTCTGGTTCCCTGGGGGTGGAGTAGTCCCCCCACATACACGTCTTTTTTTTTTTTTTTAAAAGAGGCACTTGTGCACACCCCAAAGCTCTCCGCTGCTTCTGCGTTGTACTTACAGCACGCCTGGTCCCTGCTTGCTTCTCAGGGGTGCTGAAAGATTTTCGGGAGGGCCTTGTCTTCTCTTGGCCCCATAATCCTAGAAGAAAGCAAACCCACACCAATTGCAGTTCTCGTTTTCCTGTTTTATTTATATATATGTATATATATATTTCTTTCTTCAAATCCCCTAGAGCTCCTATTTTTAATAGCCCCTCTGAAGGCACCAGAATGGCTCCTGCCTGCCCGGTAGCCGTCTTGAACTGACCTCTGCAAGGCCACCTGGCTGAGGGACCGGTGGGAGGGCGGCAGGGTTTGCAGCAGAGCATCCCCTCTCCTGAGTGTACCTCAGTCCCTGCCACACATAAGAGGTACTCTTGGTGTGGAAGTCCGCCGTGGCCTTGGACTTCAGAACATCCTGGGGGATCTGGGAGATCTAAGGTAGATTCTGAGGCAGGAAGATTCCATTCCTACTCCACTGCCCACCCCTCTGGATTGTTGGAGGTTTTGCAGCTGCATCTGTAAAATGGGAAGGAGGCCAGAATCTGCCTTGTAGGGTTGCTGAAAGGGAGAGGGTCAAGTTCTTGGCATGATGCTTCTTGGCACAGGGCAGCCCCTTCGCGAGCAATTTATGTTTTCTAACTTGCGGGCTTGAAACCAGTGTTCAGGATTCTAGGTGCTTTGGTTTAGTTATTGCTTTTATAGTTTTTTCTTTTTTTTCTTTTTTTCTGGCAAAGGTCATTAGTATATTGGGATTCTAGAAGCTGGGAAGGGATGTTATCAGACAGGCTGAGAGCAGAGTGTTCTGGAAGTTTAGGACTTCCTCCCGGCTTAGCAGGTATCTTGTTGTGTCGGTGTCTCTGACCAGCAGTCTGGCACAGTGTCACAGGTCAAAACCACCAGTAGAGCTGGATAGTTATCAGCAGTAGTGCTCAATATCAGTTTTACTGAAATTGAAATCCTATTCGATAAACATTTCTCCACTCCTAAATTGTCAGTTTTGACCTTGTTCAGGAAGTCAACTTATTACCTTTGGGGGGAGTAAGAACAGTGAGAAGGTGAGGGATTCACGTTTTCCTTTAGTTATTGCTTTTATAGTTTTTTCTTTTTTTTTCTTTTTTTCTGGCAAAGGTCATTAGTATATTGGGGTTCTAGAAGCTGGGAAGGGATGTTATCAGACAGGCTGAGAGCAGAGTGTTCTGGAAGTTTAGGACTTCCTCCCGGCTTAGCAGGTATCTTGTTGTGTCGGTGTCTCTGACCAGCAGTCTGGCACAGACTTGGGGCACACTTTAAAGAGGTGAAAGTCCCGAAGGTTCAGTCTTGCCGAAAAGGGCCTCCTGGGCCCAGTGTGGCTCTCCCGGCCTCCGCCAGCAGTGCACAAGGTGGAGCGCTCCTGTAGGCCCTGAGGGGGGCCTTGAAGGGGGGCCCCGAGGGCAGGGAGATGCTAGCATAGGGGTGAGGCCGCCGACCTTCCCCAACCCCACCAACCTCTGGAGCTGTGAAAACACCACCCCTTCTTTATTTTACTTTATCAACACGAAGACCCTAAGGTGCTTTTCCTTTGGGTCTCCTGTATTCCTCTGCGTAGGGTACAGTATTAAATGCCAGAGCCAAACCTCTGTCAGAATAACCCAGAATGTCTGCACCAGTCCTCACTGGGGACAGAAAGGCCTGGTGGTGTGTCGGACTTGGGCTTGGGCAAAGTTGGGGTGTGGAGTGGATTGCAGGGTCTGGGGTCAGCCAGGGAGCAAGCACCACAGAACCTGGAAGTTTTGGACCCCACAGCTGAGGGTGGGGGGAGGGCAGACTCTCCTCATACCCCCTAGCCCTTTCTCTCTGCTCCCTGAGTGACCTGCCCTGGTCACTCCCGGTGGACAGAAAAAGGACGCGCTCTTAACTTAGTGCTGGAAAACACAATTCTGTCTGCAGCTCCGCCTCGTTGGCTGTCAGTCCCTTATCTGCAAAATGGGTAGCTGGGTGATGATCTCATAGGTGGTCACCCTTGTGGGGCGGGGTGAAATAGCAGCTGTGAGACACACCTCAGCACAAGGCACCTGCGGGTGCTCTGTGGATTCCATTCCCTCCCTGGGCTCAGGATGTCAGGAAAGGTGGCCAGCCTCTCAGGCAGCGGTTAGTAAGTGCCGCTGCGTGCTCAGTGCCGTGCGGAGACCAGACTCCAGGGTGGGAAACCCGGAAACCCTCAACCTGTTATTCTAAGATCGCTAATAGCCAGGGACCACTCCAGAACTTTCTGAACCAAGAAATAGGTACAGTGTGGTCTTGGGGCTGCTTTACAGATGGAGTGACATTACGCTTTTGGAGCTTGTGTCACATTTTAGCCTCAATGTCACAAAGGAACCAGCAGACCAGGCATTGCCCTGCCGTTTGCCCTCAGTCCCTCAGATTTTACTCTGGTTTTGTGAAATGGCCAGTGCCAAAAGGAGGTAGTATTTCCTCCTAATTGTTTCCTCTCTTTAAAGAATTATGTGTGTGTCAGTTTCAGGTGGGAACTTGCAGTTAAGTTTTTAAAAGTGAATCCTGTTGGAATAAGGCTAAAACTATGGGCTGTTCTGGCCAGGTTCAGGTAGAGAGAGCACTTGGCCCGTCAGAGGTGCTGTGGCCCACAGACCCCACAAGCACTAATTCCCAGGGCCACCGGCCCCTCAACGTTTTTGGTATTCAAGTTGGGGTGGAGTCGGCACAGCCTAGAATCAGATCGCCATTCTGGCCTGTCTGCATTTGAGAAAGTTTAGGCGAAGGATAATCCACAGTCCCTAGGGACGATCTGTGCCACCTGCAGGGGGAGGACCTGCATCTACCTGCTGATCAGGACAGTCCAAGCACAGTGCCTCTGAGCAGAGACCCCAGAAAGAGATGGGAGGATTGGAAGCCTGGTCAGAGCACCTGGGGCTGGGCGAGGAGGGGGCGGGCTGCTCAAGGGACTTTCACTGAGAGGCCTCCCAGTATGGGACGGCCAAGCTCCCATGTAACTAGAGAGGGGTGAAGGACAGGCCCCGCCTACCAGAATGCTGTCTTGACAACCAGAAGTGTCCCCTTTGACAGACTCATTCTAAAGACTAGATGGATCTCCCCCCTTTTTAAGGTGAAGGTAGTGCTGGGTGGGCCACAGGCGGCACTGAGACAGCCCCTCTGACGAGATGTTTCGGAAAGTAGTAGCAGGCCCCAGCCCCTGCTGGCTGCTGGGTGACTTGCCGAGTCAGTGTGATCCCTGCACAAGGTGCAGAGCTAAGACAGACAGTGGGACCTGACCCAGGGTCTCCCAGAGGAGGGCCCATTGTTGTTCCTGATTGTGGATCAGCCCTGCTTCCCTTGTCTAGGGTCTAGATGCCGACATGGGGATGAGGGTGAGGAGTGTGGAAAGATAGACCTCCTTGGATGTGGCCGGCCCCATGGCTACACTGAGAACAAGTCCATGTCTCCAGCTGCCCCTGTCTCTATGGAGCGGAGTGCGTAGCATTTGGCTAGTGGTCACACCTTGCAGCCCAGTGCCGCGGTTAGGGAGGCGGGCACTGGGAGAAGAGGGGGCCATGCTACCTAAGTCTCTGAAACCATGTTTCCCAACCTGCCTGCCCTCTGAAAAGGCTGGTGTTTGTGATCTGAAAACTTTTCCTCAAAACCTGACTTTTAGCCCTATTTCCCCCCTACTTACTGTGTGGCCTTGGGCAAGTCTCCAGCCTCTCTGGGCCTCCACCTTGCCATCTGTGAAACGGGGAAGGTATGAATGGCCTTCCAGGGTCTGTACTTCTGAAAGAGGGAAGGCTGGTGAGCACAGTCCCTCCAGGGAAGCAGCCATGCTGGTATTTGGGAGGCTCTTGAAGGCAGGGTAAGGTTAGGAACAGCAGAGGGTGTACCCAGAGCCTCTCAGAGGTGCTGCATGCTGCATATCCAAGCATCTTTCAGGACCAGGCACCCTGTTCGTCATCTCTTCTCACTCTATACAGCAACGTCGGGCTTCCACCCACCCCAGGCCAGCCCCCTACTCTTGCCCCAAGGAACAGACCACTCTCCTGGGTGGGAGAGGCAGCAGGATGCAGCTGCAGGCCCTGGAAGAGATCACTCTCCAGAAGACCTTTCTGATGGGCCGGGCTGTATACAGTGGACGACTGAGCTGCCTGGGGAGGGGGTGAGCTTTCTCTTCCGGAGGAGTGGAAGTGAGGCCGAGATTTGTCGAGGGGATTTAATAGCTGCATGTGGGGCTTAGACAGGGTCCTTTAAGAGCCGAGGTTCTACGATGCTTAAAGCAGCATTAAGGGCTTTGGTGTTTGTTCTGCTGCCAACATCCCAAATCAGTACACACCTCTGAAGACTGACAGCACTTCAGAGCCGTCATTTCATCTGATCCTCACAGGGCCCTGTAGGGTTGGGAGCTCTTTGTCCCCAATCTGTGGATGAGGCAGCCCAGTACAGAGCTGTGGGGCTTCAGCCCCATTTCTGCCTAGAGCATAGCTATACGAGTGATTGTCACTCTGCCTCTGCACCTCAGTGTTTTAATCTTTCTGGTGGGGATAGTATTGGGGTGGTTGTGATGATTGCATGCAGGCGATAGAAAGTACGTAGTACAGAGAAAGTGTTACTGTTATTTATGTAGTTTGCCCAGAGTCAACAGCAAGTGGCTCAGCTGGGGCCAGCTCTCCGGTGTTCGAACCCCAAATCCATGGCTCTGCTCACTGCACTGTGACATCTCTGTAAAGTGGGCCTGGCCCCTGCGCGTCCCCCTGAACCAGGAGTCTACACAGAACTCTCCGGTGTTCGAACCCCAAATCCATGGCTCTGCTCGCTGCACTGTGACATCTCTGTAAAGTGGGCCCCTGCGCGTCCCCCTGAACCTGCCCCTGTCCGAGGGCAGGCACACAGCTCGATCAGGCACGGAGGCTGCAGGCTTTAAGAATGCTGGCTGCCTTAGGGTCCCTCTGTGGCCGCCCTGCCCTGCCTTCTTCAGCTCTAGGCCTCGCTCGTTGCCAGCCGGTGCTGCTCCTGTCATTGTCCACCCCCTCTCTGGGCATTCTTCTAGACTCCAAGCCCTTCTGTGGTTGTCCAAACAGAGGAAGTGGCCCCAAGGCAGTGAGGTTTGGGAGATGGCCCCTGGCTGAGGAACCCACCATCAGCTTGATGTTGGCTCTGAGTTTGTAGCTCTGGCTCTCGAGCCTCCTGTTTGCCCCCTTCCCACACAACCTCTCACCATATATGTGACACGGAGTGCAGACTCCAGGGGCTCACAGATCCAGGTTTAAACCCCTGCTAGGTCATTGCCGACTGTGACTTTGAGCACATCTTTTTTCCCTGAGAACCTCAGTCTCCTCTTCTGTGGAATGGGAATAATACTAGCCTCGTGGTATTCTTATAAGGACCAAACCAGAGACTGTATATACAGCGTGCTATGTGCTCAATAAAGAACAGCTACTGCTGGCTGTTCCTTTGCCATCAAAATCCCACCAACCTACTTCTTTTCAGATTCTCCTACAAGGACAGAACTTAAGCTATAGCCAGGCTCATTTTACTTTTCTTTCATTCACTTCTTCACTCCTTCACTGATTGATCGATTCAGCCAGTCTGTGCCAGCTGGTAAATGGGGCTATGAAGGTCCTTAAGACATAGTTTTCATCTCCAAAAGACACTCGGAGTCCAGTAGGCGACATGGATGATCATAACCCAGTGTGGTATGGTTGGTGGGGGAGGAAAGTTATGAGGCATTATGGGAGGAGCTAGAATGGAGCAATTAACCCCGAAGGGCAGGGAGGGGAAGGCTTCACAGAGGAGGCGCTGTTTGAACTGCTGGGTGTTAGAGGATGTGTAGGATCCCACCCAGTGGAGAAGGGAGGCGAGGCATTCATTTCTGCCAAGAAGATAGCAACGGAAGAGAGGTGTCGAGGCAGCACTGGCTCGTGGGTGGCAGGAGATGAACCAGGTGGAAGGCCTGGGTGCCCGGTTCAGGTGCGCTTACGGCCCTCCCCACTCTGCCTCGTGGGTTATGCTGAGCTGGGGCTTCTGGGGTTTTCCGAGTTCTGTGTAGACTCCTGGAATGGTGATTCCCCTCTGAGGGTGGAAACGTTTTTCTCCTGCTCCTGTAGCCTGTTGAGGGCCCCACGTGCTGATGCCTGGATGAGGCAACTGGATCCGGGGATGGGGAACAACCCAGACCTAGGACAAGGTGGGGTGTCTGTACATGCCAGGCCTTTCAGGAGCATTCTTTCCCCTTCCTCATTCAGACCCAGCCCCGACCCCTACCCCGGCCTGTCAGCAGGTTCCTCTCCCTCAGAGGGTCTAACGTGGCTGGCATTCATCCGTCAGTCCGTTGCTGAGTCCATTCCCCTCACCTGCCTGAGACTTGAGGAGAAGGTGCAACCAGAGTCATGAGCCCAGAGATGTGAGCGGCTTGCTTGGTGTCCGTGTGCTTTTGAGAGAATCGTCTTGAAGCCCCTGAAGATGCATTTTAAAGTTGTGACTGTCCCTCTGTGCTGGCTTGTCATTGTGGTCCCATCACTTGGTTCCCACCTTCCCTCCACCTTTTTAAAACAAATGTATTATTTTTTTCTCATCAGGTTTTTTTTCACAGACTAACCCTCTCGCTTATATTCTGTCTGTTTGTTTTCCCTCCCTCCTTCTCTCTCCGGTTCCCCTTCTCCTTCTCATAGACTGACCCTTGGTTATCGTTGCAGAATTATGGCAGCGGCATGAGACCACCACCCAACTCCCTCGGCCCCGCCATGCCCGGGATTAACATGTAAGGCAAAAACGACCCGCCAGTGGCTCAGAGCCCATGGCTTTTCCCACCCTCTCCTGCCCTCCTGGAAGACTCATGATCTGAGTAATTACTGGCACCTCTCTGGACCTTAGTCTCCTCATCAGTTAAGTGAAGATGTTGGCAATACTGATGGTGAGGCCTTACTACACAGAGTGCTTTATGCGCCCAGCACCGTTCTAAGCATGTTATATGGGTTAGCTCACCTGATCTTCATAATAACCCTGTGAGGTGGTTGTTATTATCTCCCATTTATAGATGAGGTAACTGAGGCACCAGAGACGTGAAGTCACTTGCCCATGCTCACACAGCATAAAGTGGAAGGGTCAAGATTTGAACTCCTCTACAATTGACCACTGTTGTAGTTCTTTAGTGGTTGTTAACCCCTTTACGGTGATAGCTCCCTGTGAAGGTCTGGGGACTCCCTTCCTAGGAAAATGCACCTGCAGAGGATATTTTATATATAGGAGTTTGTAGATTCCCACCCCTGGAACTACCCATTACTGCCCCAGAAGCAGATGGTCTCTAACCTGAGGCCCTGGGCCTGTATGAAGAACTTCCTGTTAGTGATCTCAACCCTCTTGTTCTGCCCCAGCTGGCACCACCCCCTTGGGGTCAACAGAACCTTTTTCATTGTTTCCATCTTTTTTCCCTCTGTCAGGGGCCCTGGAGCTGGCAGACCCTGGCCCAATCCTAACAGTGCTAACTCAGTGAGTACCAGGTCGGGTGGGTGGTGTTTGCCAGGGAGAGATTTCTGGGGGTTCAGGGCAGTTTCTGTCCCCGGGTTGGAAGTGTCACAGGTTGGAGAGATGCAGTAGGACCCTACCTGATGCCTCTAAGGAGAAGCCCACGTGTAGGCAGAGGCTTGGGAGTAACATGCTAGGGCCATGAGGGGCTCGGTCTCTGACCAGCCCAGCCCAGCGCATTGCTCTGCAGAAACCGAGATGTCAGCTGAGAGCCTGGCTCAAAGAGCACAGTTCACGTAGGGGCTCCTGCAGTACTGGCTTCCAGGACTCAGAAGAAGGAGCTAGGAAGGGGCTCAGCGCAGATAAGAATGCCAGAGGGACGGGGCAAGTTTCTCACTTTCCTGCCCCCTCGATCTGGAGGTTCCCCACGTGGATCCTCCGCACCCCCACCCCCTATCCCCCACCTCAAGGCTCCCTGCGAGGCTCTCGGATCAGTTCAGTGTGGGAGCTGGACTTTGCTCACACCCCTGCTTCCCTGAGGGGAACTAACTAGGTGGCTCAGCGTGTCCCACAGCCTGTCCCACCAAGAGTGGGGTCATGGTCTCAAGTGGGTTTGAAAGCCAGAGGGTGCTGCCTGTCAGAGGAAGTGACTGACACGTGGTTCCTCCACCTCTTATTTCTAGATTCCATACTCCTCCTCATCACCCGGTACCTACGTGGTAAGTGTGTTGGGGTTTGGGGTGTTACATGTCTAGCCACTTGTGGCAAAGTATGCAAGAGAACTACTCAGATCCTTGTCTTTTTTTCTTTCAAAACACATTCTGAGCACAGATTCCAGCTGTGCTAGAATTTTCTATCAATATTCAGGTATTTGTACCTTCTGGTGGCCCAGAAGTCCCCAAACAAAACCCAGAGTCGGGAGCCCCGGATCTTGGGGGCTGACCAGTGGGCTGGTTGGCTCCCACCACAGGCCTTCTGTTTCACCGATGAGCATGCATGTGCACACATAGAGCTGCCTCAGTTTTAAAGAAGGAAAGGGGGTGGATCCAACTCTGGGCCCCAGTGAGCACTTGGCTGCCAATGTGGCTAGAGCTCGGTGGCCTCTCCTACATGTATCACCACCGAGGGTTTCTGATGTCAGTTTTTATCTCATCTCTAGGGACCCCCTGGTGGTGGTGGCCCCCCAGGAACACCCATCATGCCTAGTCCTGCAGGTAAGAGGGCTTGTGGAAGAGGTGCTTTTGGGGGCTTGGGGAGTCCTGGAGGGGCCTAGGTGCAGAGCCAAAGCTTACCAGCCACTCTCCCTGAGCAGCACATCCTCTCCTGGGCATCTTGGCATCAGGGATTTAGGAGGCAAGAGGCCCCCGGTGCCACTAACCTACCGTGTGGCTTCAGCCAAGTCATTCCTCATTTCTGGTTAAAGGACAGGCAAAACAGGGAGATCCAGGGGTCTCACTGGCCTCGGCTCCCTCTGGTCCAAGAGCACCCTGTCTTGGTTGTGCATTTCTCTAGGTGACTGAAAAAGGGCTTTTGGGTTCTGACAGCCTGGGACCTGGACTCTGCGCATGGTGCCTCTTGATTTCTGGTCCTCTATGTAGGAGGTCCCTTCTCCCTTTTTCTCGAACCGAAAGAGAGCATGCACGCACACACGTGGGCATGTGCACACGTGCACGCACACAGCATCACAGTTGTGTTCCTTTCCCAGCTAAGAATAGCATACGACCAGCTAGAAGAAATTCAACATCAATCCTTATCCACCCCAAAAATAAAAAGTGAGAAGTGGTTGGATTTTTGCCTTTGAAATGTGGGGCCTATTCCTGATACAAACACGTTGGCTGATGTCCTGAAGAGATGTTTCTGGCTAATTGGGGAGGCGGAGGGGTCCCTCTCTCTTACCCCATCCTCGGCTCCCCATAGCAAGGATGCTGCTCAGCTGCAGGGGTGAAGCAGGCGGCGACTGTGATATTCTGGCTCCCGCTCCGACTCCTTCTTTCTGCTGCTGCATTTTTATGAGCTGCATGACCTACATTCAGACTGGGTCACATTAAACCACTCCATATGTTAATGCGTCTCCAGCCCCATCCCTGCCTCTCCCTCCTGCCCCATCAGCTTGGCAGGGTGGCCCCTAGGTAATTTGTGGCATCTCTCTTTCC